GTTTGTAGAGACTGTTGTGTTGCTCAGACACCTTTTTGTGGAGCTTTTTTAGAAGTTCAAGTGATTCTTGGCCCTCAAATACCTGATGACTTTTCAGAGGTTTAAGTCAAGGCCACCATCAGTGCTCCTTTGTTGCTGGTCTTGGTCTTCTTTTTAATGGTTTCTGGCTTTGTGTCAAGAAAGCCCAATCTGTCTTAACTTCTTCAGTTGGAATGATTTGGTAGACTTTTAACAAACTTCAGCCTTCCTCAGTGAGAATGAAATGTGGTTCAATTGAAAGCAGAGTTGTGTTGTGAATCTGTGTGTGAAAGTATAGACCAGCTGCACTGGAATGCTCTGTGTTGTGAATAGAATTCGGTGTGTGAGGGGGAACTCTGTAGCTCTGTTATAGAAATACAGGAGGGTAATGTTTTTTATCAAATCTGTTACTAGCAAAACATTCTTCAGAGTCTGGTGTTGTTGAAGTGATTTCACTGTCACACTAATGCTTTACCTTTTAAGCAGTACAAAGTTTGCACGGCATATAATATTTTTTAAAAAATACTGGTGGTGAAGGATGTTAGTAATGTTACCACTTCTTTGGAAATAAATGTGTTTATTTATCAAATCCGGGGCCTAAATAGAAGATTTTTTTTTTCCATAGCTTCATAATGGATCTGAATAATTTTTTTTTTTTTTTTTTTAAAATTCTGACATTTATGTTTTTACTGTTGTTTCTTCAAAAGTCTAAATATTTCATGTACCTAGACAGAGATGGTTAATCACACCAGGTCCGTACTGTTTCAACAATCCTCCCCTCATTTTGCTGGTGAATGTCTGCCTCCTAAGTGGACTTTGTTTATAACTTACAGTTATAAACAGTTGTATAGAATTTTATCTAATGAATCATGGGGTTTTGTTTTTTTTGGTTTTAGTATTTTTTGGCACAATGTCCAAAACTTTACAATAAATCTTTCAGCCTTTAGTAGATTTGATCTGTGTTCTGTTCAGTTTCCTACTTTCAGGTCCATGCAGATAGAAATGAGGTAGCTAAATCAGTTAGTTCAGTGCAGTACAATAGAGAAAATACTTTCTGAATTGGTGGTCACTGGTGTAAAAGATAACTTCATTTCAAACCTGTTCAAAGTATTTTAGCTGCTTTCTCAGAATCTGCTGGGTTTGGATTCTTTTTTTCTCTGCTGTGGTATTTCTTCAGCAGAATTTAGGCTTTCATAGGGCTTATTATATTCAAATACAGTGCTGAATTTGTTTTGAAACTGACTTTTTTGTATTGTGTTATTCATGTGAATATCTAGTCAAACATGGAACACCGAATAGCCTTAATGGCTCTGTAGACCCACTATGTTTTTTGTAATTATTTCCTGTGTAGCATTCTTCATCTTTCTGTCCTATCACCAACGTACTTGACATCATTAACAGATTGATTTTGCTGGGCCCAACATCTGAAAGCCCTAGTGTGGCTAAGGTTCAAATAAGAATTAGATTTCTAGGATATAAAATTCCCTCACAACTTTGGAATTTGTAGGGGTGAAATAAAATACCAGCTGAGTGCCTGTTGTGCTATCTCAACAGGTGTGAGCCGCACAACTGAAATGTACCTTCAGATAAACTCAACACCTTATCATGTTTAGCTGAAAGAGTGTTTTTAACAGTAACCATGCAGAAAATCTGTATGCATTATCTATCTGTACAAGTCTCTAATGATTAAACTGATATTCGGTTTTACCACTTTCTGGCAGGTAATGCATACAGCATTTGTGGTTTTGTTGAAAATATTGAACACCAAATATTCTGTTGTTCTTTAGCTTTTTTCTTCTCTTGTTTTCAGAAATGGGTTGAATTTTTTCTTTAAGCTACTTGCTTGGGTTTACACGGGTTCTGCAAGTATGTTTTCAGAAGCCATACATTCTTTAGCAGACACATGTAACCAGGTGAGTGTTTTTTCCCATTCTGCTAGAGTTAGTACTTGTAATAATTTTCAGGAATAAAGAAAGATACTTATAGTAGCTATATTGCACTTGAATAAAAAATTAAAATTGGATGTTTTTTAATTTGCATTAATGTAGAAATGAGACAAGTCAGAATGTAGATTTTGAAGTTCTTTTAGAAATATGTTGAAAGAGGATTTGCAGTAAGCAGAACTATACTCAGCTGCTTCATGGCTCACGAATGGGATGTGAAACTAAGATGATGTACAAAGTGTCTCTCTTTCTTATTTTGGTTAATATTTTGGTTAAATGTTAATTTGAAATACTTCTGTCAGTTATTATAATACAATGACAAACTTGTTGCTTAGTCATCTCTTGGTAGAATAATGAGAATTTGAGCATCTTGGTTTCTTTTTCTGTTCCTTGATTACCTTATCAGCCTCTCACAGCACAAGTAGCCACATATTTGGCACATTTACTTTGATAAGTGGTGTGGCAGACTCAGAATTAATAAAATTAATGTTTTTTCCACTGTTTTCAATTATATGCTTGAAGCATATGTTGTGAGACTGAAATTTTCCCTTCTTCCATTGTGGTAAGAATCTATCTTGTTGCAGTGTTTGATATAGCGAGGCTTTGGAAACAAAAAAAACCCAACCCTTAAAGATGAGTGACTGAAACCCTCCTGCAGCTCAAGCAAGAGGAGTCCTTGGGTAACTTGTGACTACTAAAATGCAAATTTGAGGAGTATATGGGACCTTAGAGCAGACTGAATATCTTGAAAAGCATATTAGAATAGTTTCAGAAACCTTTTTGCTTGAGTTGGACCTATTATGCTTCTCTATCCAGAAAGACTGAGTTGAGGACTCACGTTTTGTTTATTGTTTTTACACAACCTTTCAGCTGTTCAGATGTAAAGTGAAGATGGGGTGCTACTAACTCAACTGATAGTACTTAAATTTATGGGGAGACTAGCCTTGAAGTGGCCAAGTGTGTCAATTTATAGGTGAACCAAGCTTGATAGTGGTATTATATACACTGAAGGGATGTTCCACTGAAAAGTGGTTTGGTTTTTGTTTTTTTTTTTTCCCCCAAATATTTGAGTATGTGGTTTTGGGAAAAACACAGGAGACACCTTGCTTCCTCAAAGCACCTTGCTGCTGCTACTTAAAGTGTCTAAGTTTTCATACTTGTTATTATGTTTCAGTAATTCATAGTCCTGAAACAAAACACATGCTTTGCAAGATTGAGGTATAGATTTATAACTTACTGCATCAGTAGCTTAATACATGCCTAATTAAATATGTTGCAGATAGGCAATTTAGATAGCAAGATTTTTTTTGTCTTCCTTAAAAATAGACTGCAAAAAGCTGCTGTGTAAAGTAGATGCTTTAAATGTAGTATGTCATCACCGTGCTACACCACAATCTCAATATAATTTCTCTTCAAGAGGGATTTATTTAAACAGCTTTGTTCCTTGAGAAACTTCATTGCTTCACATTGAAGCACAGCAACAAGACTTTTGATTGCACGTAATGTTCACTTTTAGTTGCAATTCTAAAATTATAATTAACAGTAATTATATATACACACACCATGTAATTGCATATATATTATATATATTGATATAACTAACAATTTCTTGGAGGTGCTATATTTAGATGACAGATTTTGAGGATTATATTCCAGCTCTAGTAAAATATCAGTAACAAAACATATATGCAGGTCAAGAAATTGCATTTCCCTTTGTCTCTGAAGTTCAGTTGATATAGAATGTTTGTAATTTATTTTCATGTTCAGGTTTTTTTAACAAAGTCTTTTTCCTTTTGTCCTAAATAGGCATTGCTAGCTTTGGGCATCAGTCAGTCTGCAAGGACACCTGACCCTAGTCATCCGTAAGCTTTTTGAGTAAATAAAGATTTTGTTAACTACATATAGGAGTAAGATCTGTTCTTGTTTTTGCATCACTTTTTTTCTTTTTAATCTGCTGTTTTGTGTCATTTCAGAAATTTTTTGTTTCTGATTTTACAATAGATAAAATAAGAAAAGGGTTTTCTCCCATGCTTTAGGAGTTGTACTTGTAGCTTCAGTGGCTTTGTGCATGTGTGGCTTGTTTTGTTTCGTTTTTTGTGGTATGCTTTTGCTATGTTTTATTTTAATTGACATTATTTCTCTAAGTTGTTTTGGACTCTTCTGCCTCTTCCAGTGAATAGATCTAAACACTATTCATGTGAATCACAGGATTTTTTAAAAAATAAAAATTACTGTCCTCTTCCTTTTTTTAACAAGTGCTTTGCTGCAAGGCAATTACTTCTACCATAAGGAGATGTGTTTGACTTAAACTGCTCTGTGTTTTTATCTGAGTAGTAGGGGTATTACTTGATAAGTTCTTACATCTTCATGAAAATGATAAGATATATTCTCCATGACATTTTCTTGGTGTTGACCTAGTTTATACTTCATATGTTTGGACAAGTCATTCATCCTGTAAACACTAGTTCAAAAATACATCTAATTTACAGAATTAGTTAAACTTTTTTTCATTAAGAGCATCATTAAAATTTGAAACATTTAAATCTTAAATTTCTCCGCATATTCATTGTATCTCCTTCCTCTATCTCACTTCTTTCCCTTCTTTCTTAATATAGTCAATAGAACAAAATACTGGTTTCTTAAATGTGGCTAAAGAAGTATACTGTTTGTAGTAGCAGTTAATACAGGAAAAAAAAGAATAAAGGTACACTGCTTTAACTCTTCCCACTTAGAACAGTGCTCTTAAAAACTGCAAGTGTTGAATGTCCCTAGTTATCTACTACTGAACGATGTATACAATTTATTTCCTTTAAATTAGCATTATAAATTATGTAGACCAGCCACCTACAAGGCTAGAGTTCTCATTTAGAAGTAGCATTTCATTAGCATGTAAAACTGACATGAATATTGGTGGGGTTTAGGGCTTTTTTGTTGTTTTTTTTGTTTGTTTTGGGTTTTTTTACAGTTGTAAAATTCTCAATCTCTGCACAAGACCCAATTCAGCTATTTAAAAACAATTTAGGAGAATATCTATGCTTGATGTTCTTGCATGTACGAGATACCCTTTTTCAAGTGGCTTTTTTTTTTTTTTCCTTGGATTATATTGGGATTTAGCAGCTTTGTCTTAAATAGATGCCAAGTCATATGATGATAATTTAAGATGTGAAAATTAGTGGAAAAACTTTGGGGTATGTTTGCAGAGATACAGAATCTTATATTCCTGAATCACTTCCTTTGTTTTCATCTAGGTATGGTTTCACAAACATGCGCTACATTGCCTCCCTGATTAGTGGAGTAGGCATTTTCATGATGGGTGCAGGACTTTCTTGGTATCATGGGATCATAGGTTTACTCCACCCTCATCCTGTAGAATCTCTTCTCTGGGTAAGCTAATCTTGTTTGGTATTGTATTTAACAAGTGACTTAATAAAAAATAATAGCATAGTCTGAAATTCTCTTTCTGAGTCAGTTTGAATCCCAACACAATTAACTCAAACCACCCTTAATGAGAATATGTTTTAAGAAAAAAATCTTGTTAAACTACAGCTGATCTTGCAGCAAAAGTGTTCTTTAAACCCTGCATCTTCCTTCATACCTCCCAAGAGGTCCTCCTTTCCTATTGCAATATATTGCATAATGCAAATATTGTTTGTTTCCTTCTGTTTAGGGACAATTACACGGCACAGAGGTTCTGGAATGCTGTGTTTAGATAGTCTGTGATGAAGAGATCTGTACAAATATGCATATAACATAATAATTTTTTTTTCCATACAGGCATACTGCATTTTAGCAGGGTCATTGGTATCTGAAGGAGGTATGCAGTTTCAAGAAATATTTCTATTTACATATTTGTAATTTCTTAAGATTACTGTGTGAGTAATTACAGTAATAATTAATCCTTGCTTACACAGTGAAGTTTTGAACTCTGTTGCAAATAGTTGTAATCAAACAAAAAAAAAGTGGGAAAGCATTTTTTTTTCTTAAATGTCTATATAATAATAAGTCAAAGAACACATAATTTGGAAAGTAGACATGGAGTGCCATTTTGGTATTAAACTATCAGGGAATGTAACTGTTCTGATTTGTATGGAGACACATAGAAAAGATAGTAACTATGCTTTATTGTCATTCAAAGTTATCAGTAATCAGAGCTTCCTTGATGTTCTGTTGCTATGACATAAAGAGAAATTCCTGTTCAAAATGGAAACAAGTCTTTTTGCCTCTAACCATTTTCAGCAACAACTTTGGTGTTGTTTCAGCTACCCTTCTTGTTGCTATAAATGAAATTCGCAGGAGTGCTCGTGCCAAGGGCCTGTCATTTTATCAATATGGTATGTGTCATTATAGCAGTAAGGTATGTGGTTACTTAAAACAGAATCTGTTCACTAGCGTAATGATAGAAACAATTTTCTCTATTTTCCCTTTCCCCTTGCTTTATTCATCTGTTTTCTATTCTAGTAGCAAATAACATTTCACAGATTAGGTGAAAACCTGTTGTTTTAAGTACTGCTACTTAAATAGTTGGCTGAAGTGTTTGTATTTTTCAGGATAAATGCCCCTTTTAACTTTTCAAACATTTTTGAGAAGCTTCCATAATTCGGCTTGTTCTTTGTATTTATAAATGCTTTCAGAAGTGTGTGCATTTGCAAAAATTCAGTTTACACCTATATAGTTATGGAAATTTTTTTAAAGTTGCTGTTGCTAGTCTAGTTAAAGTACTGTGCATAATGTAATAAAACTAAGCTTTCCAAAGCAATTAACTTTTTTTTATTGTATGTGCAGTTGTGCAGAGTCGTGATCCTAGTACAAATGTGGTGTTACTGGAGGATGCTGCAGCAGTTTTGAGCGTGGCAGTAGCTGCTACCTGTATGGGTCTGACTTCTTTAACAGGTAAAATTCTGCACAGAGGCAAAGCAGGATGTGGATTTACTCTTGTGTGTGATAGGAACACAGTGCATTTAGTTTCTATAGGTGTCTCTGCTCTTTTTTCTGATGCTTGTACTCTGTAAGCAGATGGGTCTAACTTCCTTTTGAGCTGTTTTGGCGTACAAACAAAGTTATGTTTTACTAAAAGAATATTTATTGCAGTCAGTTATCACTTTGTGCCATGTTGGGATTACATAATTTGGGCTTCCTTAGTAAGTGGTGCACAACTGCAGAAGGAAGCAGTTCTTTCCTTCCTTTTAATACATAGTGGCACTAGTGTCATCTTCAGTAACAATAGCTGCTCCTGAGCAGTGTGGCAAACCTAACTCATGCAGGTAGGATGGTCTGCATGGCAAGTGTTTCAAAGTATGTCTTTTCTGCACAGTGAAGTTTTCTAAAGAGGGGTGATGATTTATCCCTTTTGAAGTATTGTCTTTTTAAAACAATAAAGATTGTAATTTTGTTCATTTGTGGCTTCTAATGAGTTAATTGCAAGTTTGATTTTTTTTTATAAGAGTAATTTTTTTCTTTCATCTCTAGCTTCCTTCATGAACTTAAAAATACAGTACTATTTCTACAAATCTGAATAGGAATGAATAAGTGAAATTTTAATAATAAGTACTGTATTCTGGAAATGTTTAATACTTGCAAATTTTTGAGTTACTGATAAAAGAACACTGACTTTTTTTCTATTACCTATGTTTAGGTGCATATAACTTTGTGTATAAATCTACCTTTATTATATACCTTTATTTATTATATACCTTTATTTATTATATACCTTTATTTATTATATACCTTTGTTTATTATATACCTTTATTTATTATATACCTTTATTTATTATATACCTTTATTTATTATATACCTTTATTTATTATATACCTTTATTTATTATATNTACCTTTATTTATTATATACCTTTATTTATTATATACCTTTATTTATTATATACCTTTATTTATTATATACCTTTATTTATTATATACCTTTATTATATAGAAACCCATATAGCTGACAAGAGTTTACTCGTGTATTAGTCCTGCGGGAGACAGGGGTGGCCAAGGGACAGGAGGAACTTCAGACTTTATCTTAAGATAGCCTGTTTTCTTTCAGCTTCATCTTGTTCATCCATGTAGGAAAGGATTGCCACTGAATTAAAAAAAAACTCCTCAAAAAATGGACCAACCAACCAACAAACACCCCCCCCCAAAAAAACACCACAAACCAGAAAGAAAATCAACCAAAAAGCAAAACCCAAAAAAATCTCTCAAAACTGTGTTCTCCTTTTAGTGTGAAATTGAAATTCTCTGCTATGTTTTAGAAAAGCTCTGTGAAACTAATTTGATGTATCTTGTTTAGGAAACCCATATTATGACAGCGTGGGGTCTCTAGGTGTTGGAACTTTGTTAGGAACTGTCTCAGCATTTCTAATCTACACTAACACTGAAGCCCTGCTGGGACGATCCATTGAACCTGAACAACTGCAGCGACTCACTGAGTTACTGGAAAGTGATCCTGTAGTAAGGTAAGAATCTTTACAGCTCAATCTCTACTAAAAACAACAAAAAGCAAGAAAATAGCATTTGGAAAAAATAGTTCAAGCACTTTAAATGAGAGAAATCTGGTGAGATTATTTTTAGTGTGGATTCTTCTGTACTGAGATTTTAGAATCTTTATTATAGCTAACTTCTATTTCTGTGCTAAAACTTTCAGTAAGTGAATACTTGTACCTCTCGGATGTTCCACAGCTGAAATAAGATTGCAGATATGTTCTAACAGCTACATTAATTACAGGAATTGACAATGACTTAGGGAGAAAGCCATCACAAAATTAAAACTTCAAATGCATGAAATGCAAGCACTTAAATTATACTGTTCTGTTGCTTTTATAGTTTATTAGCACTTAAATATTTAAATTCTGTTAGTTAATATTCAGTGTCTGGAATTCTGTAGCAATCGACAAGTGCTGCAGTAGTATTATGATGTAATAGATTCTGTATTTTAGATGCTTATAAAGTTAACTCAGTGCTAATTTTCTTTGCAAGTCTGCAATTTGTAGTAAACTTACAGGTCATTGTAATTCCGAAATCTTGCTTAAATGCTTTTCAAGGAGCTATTTTACCCTTAACCCTACTAACCTTGATTTAGAAGCAAACTCCTTTTTGTTATCTTTTTCATCTTTATTCAGGAATGTATTACTGTGTAAATCAGCTGAAATATTTTAGTGCTTTTTTTATTTGTAGTCGTTTCTGACCTGTGGAGGAAAAAACCCTAAGCCCATTACCTAATACCAGAATACTTGAAAGAAACTAAGTGCTGCATTATCTCAGTTGCAAGCAAGAGGTCTGGACAACATGCCCTTCATTCCAGAAACTAAACAAGATTCCTATTTGGAATAGAATTGTGTTAGAATTTTCACATCAGTAACTAAATTATTTTAAAGTATTTGTGGTCGCCCTGAAATAGTCTGAATGGTGAAGGATGTGTCAGCGGTGCTGTGTTAGAGTAGGTGAGTTCACACGATTATTCATACATGGTTTCTCTAGTTCTTTTTTCCAAAGTGAGCAGATGGCTTTTGCTTGTCTCAGGCTGAAATAATAAAATTTCTCCTAGGCCAAGCACTATTTTGTATTGTATTCCATTTTGTAGATGGCTCTAACTTTTCAACAGAGCAGACCTAGTTCGTCTCCTTCTTGCTTTAGACTTTTTTTTTAAAACAAGTACCTTAATTTTAAAAAAGCATGAATAATAAAAGAAGTGAAGACTTCATGAGAAACTGCATGTTTTTTCCTGAGATTAGAAGCTGAAACATGTTTATGTACTTCTCACACCTTCTGTGTGCACTTTTTCTTCAGTTATCTCTTTCTTAGATCCATTATATTATCAGCTTTGATTTTTTTAGAAAAAGGTTCTTCACCCAGGAGGTAGTTGGGTACTGGAACAGGCTCACCAGGGAAGTGGTCACAGCACCAAGCCTGCCAGCGTTCCAGAAGCGTTTGGACAACACTGTCAGGCACATGATGTGATGCTTGGGGATGGTCCTGTGCAGGGTGAGGAGTTGGACTCAATGATCCTTGTGGGTCCCTTCCAACTTGGTATATTCTGTGCTTCTGTAAACCATCTCCCAGAGCTCATATGGAAGCTGCACAATTGCCTCTTTCTCTGTGCCATTTGTCACGTGTGTTTCCACTCCCTTAAAAGAAGTTGGTTTGTATTATGTTTCATCTATCAGTTTGTTGGACTTCATAATTTCTCCTTTAGGCTTGTGGCTCTTTATTTCTCCTTTCTTTTCATTTTTCTTGGTAATACCTAGTTGTATCCCATATTTAACTCAGGATCCAGAATGGACTTTCAGAGTTGCTCTCAGCTGGAAAATGATTTGATTTTATTTTTGATATAAAAAACATTCCATTCTTAACTCTCATTGACACCTTTGGTGCCTAAATCTTTCTCGTATTCAACTTAACTGAACTGTGAGAGATTAGCTTTTCAGAACTGTGAAATAAAATATGTGACGTTGTATAGACTGTCCTGATTCTGTTTTTATGCATTGTAATCATAGATTCCTAGGCATAAGCTATTCCTAGTGATGGTTTAATCTTTAATTTTACTTCATTGTAACAGCTATTGCATAGGTGTGCTACAGTTGTGGTGGAAAATCTGTCATTCTGTTTTGGAGGGAAAAAAAATTACAACTGATTGCTCAAACCCATAACTTGATGTTCTCTGACAAATTTTTCTTTAATGTAAAACTTGCTTTTTTCCCTAGTTGAAATTGATAGCGTCTACTAACCATCCAGTAGCTTCCATAAGGAAGTTTCTAGCTTAAGTTTTAGCATACACATTTGCATTTTTGAATGATTAGTGGTTTTTCTCCTCTTGACTAAGTCTTATCTTTCCTGGACAGATTATGTGCAGTAAAGTAGATTTTTTTTTCCTTCACATTTGCAAAATGTGCATCATTTCACTGAATTTTATCAGGTTACTGATTAATGAGAATCTCAAATATCACTTGTTATCTTCTTGCTTAGGTCTGATAGGCACTTGATATGTCTTCAATGTTTTTGAATCACATGGCTTCAAATTCTCTTCAGTAACCACATCTGTTATCTTAAATACCCTCTTTGTGACCAGGTAGTTTGATGCCAGCCAGATTACTCCAGTAAATACTCTTTTGATTTGGTACCTTCCCACAGAATAGCTGTGTAAATTTGAATGGAGCTGGAAAGTCTTTATTGCTACAAGTAAGCTGATAGTTTTTTTAATCTGTTTAAATATTTACTAAGATCTATTTCTTGGTGTCTCTATATTTAGTTCATGCTCTATTTCTTTTTTTAATATGCTTACCTCTCCTCTACCCTGAGTATTACAAGAAGTATTCCATAAAAATTTCCTGTGATTGTTCATCTTAAAATTTCCATCTCCTGTTCTTTTTTGGCTGTTCATTCTAGCAGGCTCCTTTCAAGATAACATGCCTTCTGCTTTCTTCCAGCACCTACTGTGAAGTTAGTTCTGATTTATAAACATTCAGATGAAAAGAAACATTTCTAGTTGGGAAGAGCAAATTTGCTTAAGGCAAAGGGCATGCTAAAATGTAAAGATTCTGTGAAATTGCACAACTTAGCAAAATGAACGAGGAGTAAGTTTGGTACTTTGAAATGAGCTGTGTTGCTGAATCTAAATTTTATGTTAGAATTAAAAAATTGTCAAGAATGCATTTTTTGTTAATAAATAAATAAAAGTCTTTGGAATGTTTTATCCTTGTTTTACTTTGGGAATGTTAGAGGCAAGAATTTAAAAAATTTGAAACTTCCGTGATTTATATCCCTTATTTTAGTCTCCACTTGTTTTTTTTTTTTTCTGACCTGGATGGAAAAATGTGGAAACTTACTCTGTAGTGGCAATTTTAAATTCTCTTGGCTTTAAAGATAAACTGAGTTTTTGTCAACCTCATTAGAAAAAAATTGAGTATTTTATTTTATATTTACTTCATTATTGAAATGCATTACAATGTGTCTTGGTCTTGAGTTTGCTTCTTGTCCCTGAAAAATAGAGGAGTTTTTGTTTGCTACCTATATTCACACATCACTGAGTTTATCTAACAAACTGGAACAAAACTGTGCTATAGAAAAAAAGAATTTTTCAAAGAACCAAAATATAAACATATTACAGCTTTCATATTCTAGTATTGATTAGAAACCTTTAGATAAATACACAATTTCAGCATTTACAGTATTTTGGTAAGTCATGATCAACTGTTCAGTATGATCAAAAATGAGTTCCAAACAAAATATCCATAGTTTTTTCTTATATCAGATGTATCTGAAAATTCTTCAGAAGTTGATGCCTTTACCAAGTGTAGGAAAGCACTATAATTTCAATGTTTCCTTTCAGTAAATAACAATACATTATTGTTTCTTACCTCAGAATTGAGGGTACTTAAAGATGGTTACATAGTGTCATGTATACACATAAAAACTTTTGTGCAGTAGCAAATAAGGTGAAGTTAAACTTTTAACATGGAATAGGGAAGTTCTCACATTTTTAATCTAGTTCTGTTAATCTAGTTCTGTTAATCTAGTTCTACATCTGTGATGATTCTTGTAGTCTGTCTTTTATTGCAGTGAGCCATTTATAGATGTGTTGGTGTTGCAGAAACCTGTGGAAATGATATAACCACTTAAATATAAATCAGTATTTAATGGTGGTAAAATGAGGATTTTTTTTAAAGACAGTGGCCTTTTAAAAGGATCACTTTTCTATGACAATATTGGTAACATCAGAAGTCAAACTAGCTAGTGCTTTGATTTATGTTATTTTACATTTTCTTTAAAAATTTATATGTTTCAGAGCAATTCATGATGTTAAAGCCACAGACATGGGAATGAGCAAAGTGAGATTCAAGGCAGAAGTAGACTTTGATGGACGTGTTGTTACTCGGTCTTACCTGGAAAAACAAGACATTGAACAGCTGCTACAAGTATGTTTAAAAAATGGTTTTGTAACCCTTGTGTTTGATACGTTCCAATTTGAAGTATGTCTAAACGCAAGATTTGCAAGTAGGTGAGAGATATTTCACTTCTTCATTTTGAAGGGTTGCAGATATTCTTACTTTGTGTTAGTGTTTTAAATGTCTGTACATGAAATTGTATAATGTGCTGCTGAAACAAAGCCACTTTTGGGCTGAGCAGGGCCTGGGTAGGAGGGCAGATTTTTTTAATTTATTTTTTGTTAGAAAATACAGACTTGTAAAAAAAAATTTTTGAGAATATAATTATTCCAATAAATTTTTTATTGAATTACAAGATCTATAGTTAAACCTAGAAGCCTGTCACTTGCAAATAAACACTTTTGTTGGCAGAGCCATTTGCATTGTCTGTTGATGATGCAGTGTTAGGCTTTACAGGTCTGGCCATTCAGACTTGGCTTGAATATGGATTGCTTGCATCACATGATTTAGCATTTTTACAATGTTTAACAATTAAACATCTTTAAGTGTCGGTCTGATTTTAGTGTAGTTCAGAGTAGCTTTTCTTATTCCCTCTTTTCAATATAGAAATGCAAAACTGCTCTTAGCTGGATTCTGTATGGCAAGCTACGAAGTATGAAGCAAATAATAATTTATCTAAATTAAAAGGAGTTTTAAGTGAGAAAAATGTTTTGCTTGCTGACCAGTTTTCACTGATACTTTCCGTATATACATTTGCTTGTGAACCTACAAGATTTATTTCTTTGCTGCCCTTTCAAATGAAATGTAGATGTCAGAGGTCTGCATTTTATGTCTGTCTGTTAAACACAACTTAAAAGTTATTTGAGTTTACCTTTAAATTTTACATTGCAATTTTTAAACCATTAGTCAATATACCAGTTTTTAAAACACGTTAATGTCAAAATAAGAAAGTATGTATGTATATATAATAATAATGGCCAGTCTTCGCGAGCGAAGATTTGGGAAAGGTCATTAACCCTTCGAGCCTGCGCAGTGGATTTTTTTAGGTGAGACCCAGCGTGCGCTGAACTGAGCCCACCCTTTAATCCTGAGGTTCATCTGCCGGGGCCAAGCACGCTTGGACAGTGGCAGTGAGGGTCTCAGAACATAGGTTTGTTTAGAGTGACCTTCTCTTAGATGGATTGCCTTACAGGGCTGACGAGCTCCATCTGCCCGGGGGGCCGGGAATCGAACCCGGGTCGCAGCGGTGAGAGTCCTGCACCCTAACCACTAGACCACCAGAGGCCCCATGTATATATAGTGCAATAACTGATCTGTTCATATATTGGATTTCAATTTAATACATTTTTGAGAGGAAGAGCTTTGTACCACCGAGGCACTGCAGGTTTGCTTGGTTGCCAGTTTGCTTGCCAGTTTGCTTGCCAGTTGCCATTGTTTAGTAAGCTAGTCTTCTTTTCAAAGGCTTTGTTAGCTTTTGTTCTTTACCTGCTATTCCTTTTGGTGATTGCAGCCTTCATTAGTTCTTCCAATACTTCTAGTTTGTTGTGAAAGATGTTGATTGTTTCTAGTTTGGCAACTGTTTCTTACACAGGTCATTGTTATTTCATGTAGTAACCTTGTGTCAGCTATAAAACCATTGTTGAAGGATAGCCACTTTCGGTAGGACTCAGTCATCCAAAGTCAAAGGCAGACATCGTGCTTGCCTTTTGATCTGTATGTTTTCAAATAACTAGCTCATTCAACTAGTATTGCTGTCGACATTACTCTTTCTACAGTTGTGAAATACTTGTTGAAATGCTGTCATTCAGATTATCCTGTTTCTTTTTCTTGTTAGACTTGATGTGATCATATTCATGGGTTGTTGTGGTTGAGATTTTTTAAACTTGCTTAATTACATTATTCCTCTTCGCTTTTAAAGCAGTGGGGAAGGGAAAAAATTAGTGTTGTAATTGTATACACAAAAAGAATTAACTATTTAGTAGCTACTGTATCTGTTTGCAATAACATATTTATCCTGAACATACTGCAGCTGTATTGCCTGAACTGTGGCTGAGATATTACAGGGTAGATGGCTTCTGACCAGTTTAGTGTGAGATTTCTAAAGAAAGCTCATAGTTTTAAATTGAAAGATAATAGATTTAAATTAGATATAAGAAAAAATTTCTTTACTGTGAGGGTGTGAGACAGTGGAACAGCCTGTCCAGAGGAGTTGCGAATGCCTCATCCTTGTAAGTGTTTAAGGCCAGATTGAATGGGGCCCTGAGTAACTGGTGTAGTGGAAGGTGTTCCTGCCTATGGCAGCAGGGGTGCAACTGGGTGATCTTTCAGGTCCTTCCAGCCCAAACTATTGTATGATTCTAAGGCAATATGTAACACCTGCTTTGATGTTGCTGATGTCTATGGTTTTTTGGAGGGTGGGGTATAACTGTCTTCCTTAACTTCATTCCTTCAGTTGCATATGCTGCGGGTCTCCTATTCTTAGTTCCTGTCAACTATCTTCAAGTTTTTGACACTATGGAGGAGCTGTATTTGCAGCAGCATTTGTAGTAATCTTTTTGGATTTTCAGATGAGTTGATTATGTGATGCCCANTGTAATGGAATAGCAAGAATGTATGAAAATGGGGAAAGAATACACAGGGGTACCCCGCTCTGCCTTGCTGTGAGCAATGAATATCCCAGAAACTTCTAGAAAATGAATTAAATTCTCTAAACTTAGTTGGAAAGTTAAGGAGGAAATCAATTTAAGATAGAAGGTTTCATATCAAATGCAGGTGTAATGGTAGAGCCAGCTGTTTCCATTGAATAGATGCTGTGTCTTTGAGACATAAGAACAGATGATGTTTTGGAAGGAAATGGCAAAAGCTGAAGTGTTTTGTTTAGGTGTTTGTTTTTTTTTTCCTCTTGAAATATGTCAAGACTCTCTGGAGTGTTATTCCTTTATTTTCTTTCCGTTATCTCAATCTCTTAAATTTAATTTCTTCCTAGGAAATTCAGCAAGTGAAAACCCTTGAAGAATTAGAAGCCTTCATGCTTAAGCATGGTGACAATATCATTGACACACTGGGAGCTGAAGTAGACAGACTTGAAAAGGACCTGAAGGTAAATTTTAACTGGGTAATAGGATGTGCTTATTCTGTGATATATTTTAAACAGTATCACTGCGTCTACTTTTTGGAATTTCATTTGTAAATATGGGAGAGGGAAGGCGTTGGTATTCCTATAGTATTATTAACTAAGTTCTAACCACCAGCAAACCCTTACTTTGCCACTGATCCATTTGTTGTGTATTTTGTTCCATTTTATACCAACACAGAACAATATTTTAATTAAATAGACGTGATTTTGTCTATATTATTGTATTCTCATAAAGTCAGATTATTTATAGGCTGTTGCATTCTGTTTTGGCTGCATAAAAACAAATTTCAATTTTTTTTTTAATATGGTGCTTAGCATTGTATCAAATATATCTGTGTGATGGGAATGTTACTCAACATCTTTTGCTTTTGTTGAAGCAGTGCAGTGTTTACCTCTTTTACAAGCTTCTCAAATTCCTTATAATTTTTTTTTCATCCTGTAATTTAAATATCCTTTGGCTGATGAAACAAAGGATTGTTTCCATTTTAATTGTACAGGTATATTGTGACTGTCAATCTTTCTGGCATGAATTAAGAACTACAAATATACTGACTGCCAGACAAATAGTCCTGCCATGACTGCCTTTTCTGGCCATGAGACACTACTCGAGAGCATGTCTGTCATTGCTTATTACATTTGATAAATATTCTAGTTTTAGTTTCTGTCCCTGCAGTTGTGCAGTTTAAAAATCAAAATATTATTTTTGAATTTAATTGCACCAGCAGAATCAGTTCTTCATGGTGTTTGAGGAGTAGATCATGACTAATTATTTTATAAATGTTAATAATGTTTTTTTGGTATAGGTAGGGATTTCAGTAATTGTGTTGGTGTTGGTGCTTTACTCAATATGCTAGTTAGGTTCACATACTGAGTGAGTTCTGAAGTCAGTGACTTTCTCATGGATAATACAATCAATGTAATGATAACATATTTCTACAATATCAGAAAATGCATATTTCTTAATAGAAACAGTATTTTGAAGGTTTATAAATAGCTTTAGTGGTATAGAACAAATTATCTTAGCAATCTTACCCATTATTCAGGAAAGTACCTGAGATGTGTATATATGTATATGTGTATATATGTATATATATATATATGTTTATTTAGACAGTTTTATATAAAACCTAACTCCCTTTTTAAAATCAAGAGCTGCTTCGTACTTTTTAAAACATAAGAACTAACTTAGCCGTGATGTTGAGAAGTATTTGTGAAATAAAAAGATGACTTCAAAAACTGGCTTATAGTATAGGCAATATTTGTTGAAGCCCTTCCTCATTTTAAAATAGTTCCTGTGTTACCTGAAAAGGGGATTTGTTGTCCAGTTGCCAGCATCATACCAGAAATACATTATTAGTAACTATGTGCAAAACTGTGAATATTTTCAATATTTTTTTTTTAAATTTTATTTCAGCAACGAAATCCTGATGTTCGTCACGTGGATTTGGAGATACTATAGAGGCGAACAGAAGAAATCTTCAGGTTGCTACTCCTTTGGAAAGAAGTCACATAAAGGGCTGAAAAGCTTCTGAAATTGCAGTGACCTCAGCACCATACCTCGCTTACTTATGCTGTAGGCTTCCTGGACTGTAAGCACTGCTTCTGTTTCTGGAAGAGTGCTAGACTTGCAGACAAAAATTTCCATGGCAAAATCAGTTTTCAAAAGCTACTTGAGTTAAATTCCACAGGAGAGTCTGTCTGAATATATTTACTGTGATTCAGAACTTAAGACTTGAGATTTAGTTAGGCAAATACAGCTGCCTGAAACTATATAACACACTTAGTTTTCCATTTGTGTCCCTTTACAGTCAGTTTGCACTTCTTTAGTTTCTTTCAAGATATCATTAAAGGTTCTTGGGAGATATTAAGATTAACTAGGAGGAGTTTGTTCCAGTGGAACCTGCCAACCTTAAACTATTTCAATTGTGCAATTGTTTCATAGTTTTTCTTTTCTATGAGATAAATTCTTCCAAACGGGCACTGGCCTTCTCTCAAGTACTGTGACCTGGAAACCTGCTTTTTGCCACCATTACGATTACCAAGATTACCAACTGCACTTCAGAAAAATAAGATTTTTCACCTCAGTGGAGCCAGCTGTATGGGTTTAGCCAGAGTATATTAAGCTACTGTGAAAAATTACTGTGTACGAATTTTGGTGCACTTCCTCTTTTTAGTTTTGTTCTTTTTTTCCCTGCTCTGACACTTGTTTTCTTATTTGTAATTATCTTCAGATGTAATCTGAGGGATATTTATGGTAGCGCTTATTAAAAGTTACCTAGCATTTTTGGCTTTTTATATTTTAATAGGCTCTATTGCCAGATATGGTCTTTTCTAGAAGGTGGCGAGAGATGTAGTTGGAATACACAATAGTAAAAAATGAACTATTTATAATTAAACAAATGAATACATTGTATTCTTAATTTATTTATCTCTAGATATTATTTGTTATCTGAATTCAAAACCATTTTGTTTTTTAAAAGTTGACCGTACTTGTTTTGGAAAGTAAAGTAATTCTATCAGTGGTCCTCAACAATCCTGAGATAAGGTCTTAGTTTATAACTTTGAAATATAGATTTTAGCACTGTATATAATTGGCCTCAAGGCTTTCTGCAGTAGGTACCCAAGTTGTACCAGACTCTTTGAGACCCAGTCTTTATTAATAAGGCCACAAGAGTATTGAGCACAAAGTTGAAATATAAGTGGAATAACTGTATATAAGTAACACTGAGAAAATTTGTTTATGCACTTTAACATAAAATTTGCTCATGGGTGAAAGGTAGTAATAAGACCATCCTAGTAACTCAGTTGCTGAATAATGACTGAATTGCTGAAAGAAGAAATGTTCATATGAAACACAAGTCTTCAAGAATCAATTTAAAATTAAATTGTAAGCATTGCAGCAAATAATTTTGGAGACAAATATGTCCAGATTTGACTAAAAGCTTTTTAGAATTTTTTTTTCATACTAAGTGTCACTTACCAGTGAATTATGAGAATTTAAAATAGCATGCCTTTTTGGCAACTGCAAAGCATTTTGCATGCTGGTCATTTTAAGTAGAAAAACATTCCAGAGTTAAGTTATTCTTCAGTACCTTTGTCCATCATCCCTATTCACTGGTGGCTTCTTTATAGTATAATACCTTACTATGGCTAATTCAAAAAAAAGCTTGCTTTATCTGGTTTTCTCCTATTGTAGAACTAGTTAGTATATTTAAGCCTGATGATTTGAAATGCAGTTTAAAGGTAATTTGGAAGTCTCCCGTATCAAATATTAAGGCATATTTTAGCACCTTATAAATAATTTACCTTCTCACCTTGCCATGTAAAATTCATCTCATCTCAGTATGCACTCTGCTGGTATTAGTCTTATTCATGAAGAGCACTGGAATCTGGTAACGCATACCCTGTTTTCTTTTCCCTAGAATCTTTTTATAGATTTTAAATTTGAATAAACGTGTTAGTAAGCCAGTCATTCCAGAAATCTTAAAAACCTGAAGAGAAATAAAACTGGGAAAATATTCTTCCTGTGGAGGTTAGTGAAGACAGCCAGTGTGATCGAAGTGGTTTGTGTGCTGGAGTTACTGATGAATGAGTAGTGCCAGTAAGCACTTTGCAGGGCAGAAGTTTCCCTGCAAGGTTAGTAAATGTTATCTCAATAGCAAAGGGTTCCCATATTGTTTTCAAGAAAAGACATGAGTTTATATTCTTACAGGACATCTGCTCCAAGAGCCTATAAAAATGTTTTTTTTATTCATCAGAGATGTAATTCATGTGAATTCTGATCCTAATTTCTTTATTTGAATCAGAAGAATACTCATCCACACGCCTTTTGTTTGTATTCCAAGATAGAATTCACTTCCTTGTTTCCCAGTTACATTATTAATTATAGCAACACAGTATGTTAAATTTAAGAAGCCAGAACTTGAATGTTTTTAGGTATATTACAGTCAAGCAGTTTGAGGACCCAGTTCCATTTTTAAAGTGCCCTGGATGGTGATGTAGCACAAAAGGGCATGCAGACTGGTTTCAGCAGTACCCTGTAAGTTTACATGTCATGCAGGATGGAAAATACTGATTCATGTAGCCTGTCAGGTTGGAAAGGAAAAGTAATTCCAAGCTGTTACATTTTAATTTTTATGTTAGAATTTGCAGATTGCTTTTAACACATTTGATATTTTTACTGCTTTTTTCGTTAACTGTGTTTATAGTAAAAAACTTGAGGTGATGTGGGTCCAGGACTTAGTTTACTTTTGTTTTAATGTTTTTTTGGGGAAAATTATTAGCAAATACATTTACATTATAGAATCCTCAGAATTAAAGAAAACTTAAAAAGTGTGGAGGAGTGAATTTTTTCTTTATCACAAATGCAATTGCATGATGATTCTTTTTGGTTGATTTTAAAGAAAAGGAGTAGGGATTTACCTACCAATGAAGTTATATTCTAGGATTTTTTCAATTAAAGTGTGGTGTTTTAAAATAATTTATTTTTGTAGACTGACCTTGCAGGTTCTGTTTTTTCAAATTGTGTTCAAAATAATACTGCCCTCTCTGCTTTGTGGAAGATTGCTTACATGCTGTGCAGTGTCTCATAATTCTCTAAAACTTGCAATGTGTGAAAAAAATTGTCTTTGTGTTCCAATATACTGAATGATCTTATGTATTTTAAGTCCAGGTTGGCTGGATGCTAATAATATGTTTTTCTGTAGAATTTTTTTTCTGTAAGAGGTAAAATTTTGAAGTGATTATCTTTCTCCCAAGAATGAATTTCAAGTCTAAATTTCTCCTTTATACACTGGAATTCAGTATTTGATGTGGTCTCCCTCTCCCCCTCCACTTTCTAAAGCATTTATTAAGGGTTTGGTAGCAGTAAATATTCCAGTGGAGTACTGTATTTCAGGGACTGTTAGCCGTTTTGTTTGCTGGTCTAGAAGTAGTGGGGATTTAGGGAACAGGAGAACATATAAGGAAAAATTTGCATCCTTCACCTTCTGTGACTCAGTTTTGGACTGAAGGTTTTTAGGCTCTGTTTTTTTCCTTCCCTGAATTCCCACACAGCTTTTATTGCTTTTTTTAAACGACTCTTACTTTTAGAGGAGCAAGCCATTATGAACATCTTATGTTTTTAACAGCAGGGCTAAATTCTACTCTTAGTGTCTGGATTTTGTACTGTACTTCTTGTTCATTCATAGTTGACAATAATGATTGCTGTTTTAAAAGCCACAAACCATGTTAGCCAAAACTGAGTTTTCTGATTCATGGTAGGTGCAGGTTTTTTAGTTATGTCTGCAGACTCAGTTTTTATTGAGAGATTTTTACTGCCCCCTCTTTGATAAGGGAGAGTACAGGGTAGGTTTTTAGGCATGTTTTGTCTAGATTGTACACTAATTGCAGTTCTATGTTCTCTCTTTTATCATTTCAGCTGATTTTTCTGTAACAAAAAAAAAATATACATTATAGAAGTACCTCTAATAATGATGAGTGCATCAAATACAGGCATCATGCAAGAGTTTTTAGGCCTTTATTGAAAATGTGGTGATTTTTGAAAAATCTCAATGAAGTAATCCTTTTCCTAAAGTCGATTTAGATATTTTCCTTGTAGAAGAAACCACAGAAGCATATTGTTTTAAGATTTGAAAGCAAAATGTTTCCTCTTACAGTCATATGTTCTTAAGGCATTTTGTCTTGGTAGAACAATTGATAAGTATTGACTCTTGTACAAAACCTTTGCTTCTGCCCATTCCTTAAGGCTTACAGAAGTGAATATAAAATGACAGTGTTAATTTTTCTTCTAGCTTAAGTATTGTGCTGCCTCTGTTCTTATTGCTAGTGAAATAGAGGGTACCACTAACATCTTCCTTGCAGTTTACCTGTGTAATGTAAATGAGAAGTTGAGACGTACCAAAAAGATTTTTTTTTTTATAGAGGGATTGTGCAGCTTAAGTAATTTTTCCTTTCTTGTTAGTGACATACAAATAAGTAAGATCAAAAGTAGGCTGATCTTTATTACATAAAAAAAAAAAACAATCCAAGCTTTAAAGCACAGTAGTCAGATTTTTTGAAATGCATGTCCTTTGAGGAAAATAAAATGTGCCAGGAGCTATAAGTGATTATATGGACTATAGAAACTGCAGTCAGTCAGACTTTGCTGAAGCAAAACCAAATAAACTAAAAGTGTGTGGTAAAAAGAAAGGAATATAAGGAAGGAAAAAGACCTAACATGTCGAGCACTTGGAAAAAGGAAAGGATGAACACAATCTAAAAAACTTGTCCAGAAATGAGAAATTATGATTGGAGAAGAAAGGAACAGTAAGAAATTAATATTTTATTAGAATGCATAAAACTAGGTAGTGTGACATTCCCTTTCTTTTAGCAATATTCCAGTGGTTGGATAATTGCTTCTTCTCACCCCCAGCAAAAACTCATCCTTTTTTTTCCTGTGCTGAAAATCAGTGCCTCTGTTTAACTGTGTCCTAATATGGTGTTCAGCCTTGCAGGTACAAATCTATTTGTCCTCTGAAAACTTAGTTTTACTGCTAAGGGTGATGGTGTAATCTCAGTCTGGAGCTTTGTTGGTGAGGTATGTGTTTGGTGAGTGGAGGGTGAGTAATGTTAATTGTGGAAATGGGAGCTGGAGTGAATTAAAGAGAAAATGAATCAATTCTTTTAGACAGAAAATGATTGAACCATACTGAACATGTTATGGAAAAAAAGGGTGCTCTGTTCTAATGTCTACAGAATTCTTGTAGTGGACTGTAATCATTGGTGAATACGTTAGTCCGTATTTTTCAAGTTGCTTAAATATCTGTGGATAAGCAAGATTTCTAATTAAATAACATTATGAAAAGAAGCTAAAACATTTAAAATATAATGTGAAAATGATGTATGTTTTTTAAATACCACAGACAAATACTATAGCAGATTACTATAGATAGGTGGAAAATATTCTATATTACATGAAGTACTTCTGGACATTTTTTTTCTCTGTGTAAGTTAAAGCCACCAATTAAAATAAAGAGTCTTAGTTACTTTTTAAAAGTATTATACTGACAGTAAGCCCACTCAAATTTTTGTATAGCCAACATTCAAAGTGCTGTTATGGGAAGAAAGTGTCTGTTAAAATAGTGAAATACAGGTCCACACTCTAGCATAAGTTTGATTTTTGTAATCTAAATTTAGACTAAATTTAAAACTTTTGAGGTTGTGATCAGCTGCTTCAAATCTGAAGTCAGAAGAAAAGCACTGCAATGATGTATATATGATGTAATATAAAGGGGATTTTGTAAGTTTCTCTTCAAATTAAATATGCTGAAGGACTAAGTGAGAAGCATTTGAAAAATGCCTAAAGCATTTGGAAAGCATTTTGGCTATTGCCAAAATTATATTAAATTTGAAACTGAACAGTGAGGATTGTCACTGGTGGTAGAACTTTCAAAAGGCAATGTCAAAGTTGAAATCCATTTTTCCATGCAACCTCTTAATCAAATTCATCACTCTCCCTCATGTCCCCCCCCCCCGCCCCTCAGTCGCCCTTCTTGCTTTTTGGTGTATTGGCTTTTTCATTCTGTGTCTTGGTTACTCCATATTAGTATGGGGAAGTCATTTTGATTTGTGAGGTGTAGACATTTAAATACTTATCTGCATATGTTCTTTGTTTTGTAATTACACTTGAATTCGGTACATTCTGTATCATGTCTGGAACTTGTAATTGCTCAGTAAAATGTTACATAGCCAGTAAAGGTTGCATTCTGTTAATTTAAGCAATTGTATATATATTATAAAGGCAAGCACTAACAATGGCTTTAGGCAGCTGATGATTTGTTAAATTTCTGAATTCAAAATGCATACAACTTTTATGGATGCAAAACAAAGGTTATATCCATCTATTTGCACTAGTTATTCAGTCTGCCTTTGTGATGCTGACAGTGCACGCACTGATGAATAGCATGCAGTTGGTGAGGGAGCAATATGCCCAGTTAGCCAAGCTCTGTTTATTAATACTCTGTACTTTATGACAACTCTGCCTTTTATCCTATTCACCCCATCTTCAAAAGAGTGCAGTTTCTTCCCCATTACAGAGAAAGCTCTTTCTGCCTGGCTCAGAGCCCCCACTGGCACTGTGTCCTGTTTGGACTACCTGTCCTGATCCAGACGTAAGGATGAAATGAAGAAAGTTAGTAATACAGATGGGCTGCATGTCTCTGTATAGTCATGGGCATGGGGAAAATTCCTTGAAGAGGTTGGTTTTATGTATTAGATTCATATAGTAACTGTAGTTTCACAATCCCAGCAAAGCTGTCCAAGCCTCTTAAGAAAAAGCTTGAAATCAGTCAGCTTAGAAGGGATTTAACATATTCTCTGATTCATTAAAGTGTTGCTTTTTATCACTAATACTGATAAAACCAGTGATTTATCCAGTTATGGAAAGAACTACTTGTAATTGGGCTAAAGAATCTGTATGTGGTTGGAAAGAAGAGTCAAAAATGCCAGAAGCCTGGGTGATGAAGTAGAGAAGCTTGAAAAATTTGGGAGTTTTTGTCTGGATGGTATCAGATACCAGAAGTAAGGTGGTCAAGCAACATATTGCAGGAAAGATTTTGGCTATGCAGCATAATGTCCTGATTGCTAAAGATGTCTCTTTTCATAGTTAAGAGACTCCCTTTTTCAAGGGATGTTTGTCGTTTTGTTTTGTTTGTTTGTTTTCCTAATGAACCAAGATTTGCCTGAGCAGAGACAGGAGAGACTTCAGGGCCTTGTCTCTTGTCTATTTGACGTCAAGTCCAAATATTGGACTGTCTTTTGGGCTGTCTGAATAACCAGGCAAGTGGTATCAGCCACTTTGAAAGAGGGAGAGAGCTCTGTGTTTTCACATGATGTAACTTGGAATCCTCAAAATGCTTTATTTACCATTTGTGGTATTTGTTGAAAGGCCATTCTTAAATAATCATGTTAAGTTGTGGGTAATGGGTTGAAATGGGACCTTGCAGTTAGCTGGTTGGAGGTGATCTTAACAGTGCTGTTCGAGAATGAATTTTGTCTGTCTTTCCTAGTATTTTATGAGGGACTTTATTAAAATATCATGAAAAGTAAACCTTCCTTTACTGTTTCAGTTAAACTTTTTTTGAAAACCTTAGGAAAAGGGACATAATTTCTGCCTTCACAGAAGTCGTGACAGCTTGGCTTCTAGTAAATAACCTATATTGATTTACCCAAGCTCTGTTGTGAATTTTTTTTTTTTTTTAATTTAGACTCCTTCAGTTCTGTTACTGAATTGAGACATAATAGGATCTTTTCTAGGTTCTCATTCCTTCAAACGAGGTGGCTTAAATGTTATTCAGTGTCTAGTTTAAACAGATACTCAATGTTTTAGAGAAATATTATTTTTTTCACCCAAAATACTGATTGAACAGCAGTTTACTGCTGAAATAAATTAGGCCACTCTGGATAACACAAACCATTAAGTTTAGGGTCAAAATGTTGGTTGTTTTTTTTTCCAAGGCAGTCATAAAGAAAACCCGTCTTGCATTTGATGCACATACAAATACATTCATATACGAACCTGTGTCTTTGCATGTTATAATTGTACGTAGGTATCTTTGGCTGTAGATTTGTACCTCACTCATGAAAGAGAACCGAGATCTCAGCAAAAACGAAAATTAAATACTGTGGAAGAAGATCCTAATGAATTTGGACAATTTGGAAACTTTGATGAAAGACATTTCAGTAAGGCTGTGGCTTTAACCCATTCTGCTCCTTCCCCTTTATGCCTTGCAATGATTTCCTTGGTTCTGACCTCTGCTGTAGAACTTCAGTCTCCAAGTAGTTCAAAACAAGGGGTTTGGGTGGAGAAGACTAATTCCAAAATCTGTGTTCCAGGAGCTCCCTGTTAGGTGGGTGGTTGGACGCTTCTGATCATCAAGGGAGAAGCACAGTGATGCTCTATCTAGCATTTGGTGGGTTTACAAATGTGCCAAGGTTAACTTTTTTCTTGGAAATTAGTCTTGCCCTGGAATAGTCTTTGTGATGCTGTGGGTCGGAAAGGTACCCTGGGTGTTTCCTTCACATTCCTTTTGTCCAGAGACTGTATTGGAACTGCTTGCTCCTCTGCTTCTCATTTTGGATTATCATTTAGAAAATGAAAAAAAAAAATCTTGCTTCTATCAGTTCAGTAAGTAGTTCAGTTGTTGGCTCTTTCAGGTTCATATCCTTTTGCAAGACTTCAGTTTTTCACTCACACTACTAGGCATTTTTGAAAGGTTTAATTAGACTTTTTCAGCTGTACTATTGACCCTGTTCCTAAATGGGAACTAAATTTAATATTAACTTTTCTAATGGGAAACTGCTTTGAGTCATTAGCAAACCTGTTTCTTTCCATTTTCCTACAAAGACAACCTAAGTTGAGGCAATTATATCTGTCAGATGAGTGGGAAAGTTTAAAGCATTTTTAAGGGCAAAAGGGTTTTTTAGATTTTTCCCAACATTGTTGTGTAAGTTCATGTCAGAATTTTTTTTTCCCTTGACTCAGGTAATTAATCTACTGGTGTGGCTTTTTTTTTTCTCCTTTAACACCATTAAATTTGCAGTAGAAGCTGCTTTTTTCTTCAGACGTTGAAGAGTCTGTGTAGGAGGGTTTTTGTTTTCACGGAGCAAGGTCATATACAGAGATCTGCTCAGTAATCCAAGGGACTGTGCTGCTAGGAAATAACCAAGGCAGAGCTTCTGCTTTAAATAGGCCCCACTAAAGGAGTGGTCATCATATCAGTGATATTGGTTTGCACTATCAATAACTTAAGATTCATATGATTGTCACCTGGAGCTTTCTTCCCGCTGAAGCACTTGGGAACCATTTGTAGTTACCCATGGTGCAGATGAACATAAGTAAGAGTCAGGTGTAAGGAAAGATGAGTTCTTTCTTCTCTGTTCTCTTTGAGATACCATCTATGTGCATGTTTCCAAATAGAAACTAAAGTTTGCAAGTCAGCACTCATCATGTATTGTCCATGCTGCATGAGCTAATTGATCACAAAGCTGTGATAAGAGAACATTGTGAAGGCAGTGTCTCAAGAACTCAGATGTTAGAAGACAGCAAAATAAATGCTGCTGTGCAAATGTATCTCAGTTTCCTTGTGTTTGGAGGTACCTATGTCTGCTCTACCCTGCTGCTGTTGGCCAGCACCCCAGCCTCCTGCGTGAGGATGCTGCTCCTTCATCAGTTATTTGGTATTTGTTTTATCCTCATTTGATCTGGCCTTGTTTTATGTACTGTGTGCACTCAAACTACTCTGCACGCTTGTTGCTGTCTTCAAGGGCTTTTCTGTTGTGCTTAGCACTGTAGCTCTGGTTCTTCAGTAGCATTGATCTTCACAAAACCCCTATTAAAGAAGAGGTAGAACTATCTCAGTTCCTGAGTACAGCGGGCTGATGTTGAAACATGCTGCCTCCTGCTGTGTCCCTTTGGGACTGATGTTTCAGTCTCCTCACTGTGATGGAAGCACTTTGTATTCTGACACTCAGTCCACTGGCTTCAGTCAGTGCCTCAGTAGAGGGAAGGAGACAGAGAAAGCATCCATTCCTGCCTATCTGAACTCCTCAGGGCAAGACTTTTGCAATGTGAGTAGTCTTATTAAAATAAGTTTACAAAGACTTTTATAATCTCAGCTTGCATGTGAGCCTGTTCTAAACAAATTAGGTAAAAACTAAATTCCTTCATATGCGTGAGATTCAATGACTGCCTTGGACCTTAAGGGTTCTCTTTGGGAACATCTTAGTGCTTCAGCAAAGACATAACTGCCAGCAGATGGGCTGTGCTTCTGAGGGGACCAGCACTGTGGCAGAGCAGGAGCACAGTTTAACCATTGCCTTACCAGTATGTTTAACAGGTATTTAGTGGAAGAATGATAAAATGTGACATTACTGAATTGCAGCCCTCATCTGTACTGCCTGTTCCCCTTCAGTTATTTCCCATCCCTGCTTTTCTGCCATCCCAGGTAGCTCTCCCTTACCGCTTCTCTCTGCCTGCCCAGCCTCACGTACTGACTCTCATGGTTATCACCTTCTTACAGGCTCTGCTGTTAGACCTAATCTATCTTTTAAAACTTCACAAACCCAGCTGCTGCCTCTGGTTCCTTACCTATATGCTCTCCTTCCCTGCCAGCTTTCTATGCTACCTGTACTGCCCCTTCACCCTGTTGGTTTCCCCACAACCCATTCCTGTTCAGTCCTGCCTCTGGAACCACCCTCTGAGCCCAAGAGTCTAAGAAGTCAGAGCTTTTTAAAGATAAGTTAATTTTTTTCCCCAGAAGGGTTAATACAGGGTTTTTTGCCTAAACTTCTCAGAATCACTTGAAATGATTTTGGTGAGAGTTTCACTAATAACTGTTTTCACTAATTTCACAAACAAACAAAAAAAAAATACAGCAGGCTGTATAAAATACCTGCTAAATCCCAGTTAATTTTGCAGCATTACAGGCACTGAAAAGTGTTGCTTTATTATGGCAATATTTGGCAACCAGTTCAAATGGCTGACACCAGCCTGCAGTCAGCCCCATCTTGCTTCACAGCCCTGCAGAAGGGGTTTGCCATGGTGAATGTTTGTCACTGTAACTCCTCTACAGATTATCTGGACTCAGGATTCTCTAAAGCATTTAAGAGAACAGGAGACATTGCATTCAGCCATCACCGAATTTTGAATTAAAATGGGATTTAAACTTCACTGCTTGAAAATCCAGGTCTTAAGATTGCAGGTGGGTACCTCCTTTGAACAGTCTTTCTGTCTAACCAATACATAAATATACGTAGTTGTATTTTGAGATGAAAATTATTTATTTATATTCATACTTGAATTCTTCATAATCTTTCACTGTGCTTGCCAGTGTGTCATACCAAACAAGCATTTAATGCAAAAGAAAATGCTCTAGCCTTTAATATAAACATAAGTCTAAAACTTTTAATATATATTTATAGTCAGAACCAGTTGTGATGGCTGTCACATTGATACAACAATGCCTATAGAGAAAGAGAGAGACAGGTTAACCAGAGACTAACTTTTATTGTGCATTTTTATGCAACAGAACAAATGGAACTGGAGGTATGTAGTAATAAAACCAATATTCAAATTAGAATTAACACCTGAAATAGTAAACTGTAGGTAACAAATGTCTTTATAATTAAAAAATATTGACTGTTTAAAAAATTCTCTAAGATTTTATATTCTTTAAAAGAAATGTGTGTTGCCACATAGAAAACAATTCACACATCCTATAGAAATTGTCACAAAAACCTTACTAGTCTATATTACACTATGCACTTTTTTTTGTACAATATCTGATAAAGGTCTATCCCTAACCTGTACTTACTTTACACAGTACAATCATCATTAGAAAGTATTCATAGAATTAACTACACCATAACAATAAAAATATCAGGATTAATGTTTTTTTTTAATCACAGTTTCTCCACAAATATTTGTCATAGAAAATATAGCGAAGGCATGTTGGCACAGATGGGCGTGCGGTACTGCTACACAAAGTTTGAGAGAAGGCAGATACATAAATGACAGTAAGATTAAAGCGTATGGAAGGATAAGACAAGAATCCCTATCCTCCTGGGACTTTCTGGAGTGACATGATAGATAGTAGTTTCCTTCTGTTGCAAGCCTGCTGTCTACATCCAGAGCTGGGAAGGGATGTGCTGGCTTACAAAGCACACTGCTTAAATATGGATATCTCACCCTGCAAAGGCTTATGTGCTATCTATAATTTCAGGTCCCATAGTATTATACCTAACATCCTGTGGATATTTAGACACTTCAATGTGTATGAATTTATAATACCTCATGAAAAAAATAACTGGAATAAGCTGTTGTGGAAATTTTGGGGTTTTTAAAATGAAGTGGGTGGGTCAAGTGGTCATGATGGCAATTGAAGGCAGACAACTGAGGAAAGTTTTTTATACTCTGTTACTTTAAAACCAAACATGAACAATAATATGAGCTGGTGTCTGTTAATGCCTGTCTGTGACTATGATTCATGTCACTGGCCAGTGCACATAAGCAATTGAGGGTAAAATTTTGTTTGTAAAGAAAGGTCCAAA